CCCCCCCCCTCCCCCCAGCCTGCTTGCTGGTGGGACAGCGTGAGAAACAGGAAAGGAAAATGCCTTGTTTCTGTGCAAGCACTGCTCAGCAGTAGCTAAAACATCCCTGTGTTATCAACACTGTTTTGGTCACAAATCCAAAACACAGCACCATGCAAGCTACTATGGAGAAAATTAACTCCATCCCAACCAAAACCAGTACATTTAGAAAAGGATGGTTTATCACAGAAACAGCCTGTCCTAGTTTTTGTGCCATATTTAGGTACTCATCTCATTCATTAAAATGTATTTTTTGTAGTTAAGAGTACTTTGTACAAACCTGGTGGGAGCAGAAAATACACAACCCAAAAATAAGCTTTAGTTAGTTGTTGGCAATGGCAACACCAACAGCTCAAAAGCAAACAAACCACAGAATTGCTGTTCTGAGGAGCTTAGAGCCAAAAGTGTTTCCTAAGGAAGCATCAGCCAAACAGCCACTACCTTGTGTTGTTGGTCTGTAGCCCAGCTCTCTTTGTCCTTTGTCTTATTTAGCTACAGGAAAATAATTGAAGCGATGAGTCCCCATTCTCCACTTCTATTGACTTGCTATTCTTCCCCTTTCTTCACCAAAATAATCTTTTTGTGAATAAGTAGAAGGCTTCTAGGGCACCTGTCCCTCCAGGGGATAGACAGAAGACTCATTTTAATGTGTAAACTAATATTGGGCATAAGGGGAAGTCTCCATTAGTTGTCACCAGTATTTGTACATTTAAAAATAGTTATTAGATTGCTACAGTCATGTCATGTGTCCTGATGCAGTGGAGGGAAACCTATAAACTGTTGCAGGACACGCAAAAAAGAAATCTCGGACAGAGTTACGTTTAAATTACAACCCTGTATTGTTGTTAACCTTGTGAATCCTCACTTCTCTCTCACTGAATTGCATGTTGTATCTTACCCTTGCACAAACAAGGCAGGTTAGGGGGAACATCATGGGAAGTAAGCAAGAGATGAGGAGCAGCATCCTCAAGAGGAGCACATTGGGTATCAGGAGACCTTTACTCTTTTCTCTCCTTTGCCTGGGACCTGCTAGGCAAATATAAGCATCTTCATGGCTTGGTTTTTCTCTTTGTTTAAAACCGAACCAGAACACTGCAAAGCATTGTGTACAATACTGTAGAGGTCTGCAGAGCATTGTGAAGTTTAAACACTAATATTTTAATGTAATAATAACCTAAAAATATTACTAGGGTGCAGGTTTCTAAATGTTCCTTTTTCTTCTGTTTGGAAAAGCAGTAAGCCTCTAGTTTGTACGTTAAGACTTCAGTAAGGCACTTAAGCACGCATTTGAAATTAAGCATGTGCATTAGTCCTTTTCTGAATACTCAAAGCTATTAATTAGCGCTTGTAGCAAGACTGATTGTCTAAAGTATGAATAGAATGTGCTTGGGGGGGGACACCCTGCTTTTCAGGCACGTATATATCCTGTTGGTAAAAATTAATAAATATTACTTTATAACAAAACATAACAAACCTCCAGTTAGTCATGCACTAGTGTCACCTTCCATCTCTGAGTGCCCCTCTTCCCATGCTATGCACAGCGCTAAAGTCGGTTATGATGAATATGGTTAGTGCAGCAAGTGAACGTAATGACGCTAATGAGCCATTTCTTTATAATGACCAGGTTCTCCAGCCCTGCCCAGCAACATGGTATATTTTGGAAGCTCTCAGGATGACGAGGATGAAGAAGAGGAGGAGGAAGAGACAGAGGACACAAAAACAGCCACAAACAATGCTTCATCATCATGCCAGTCAACCCCCAGGAAAGGAAAAACGCATAAACATGTACCAAATGGGCAAGGTAGGTCCTAAATAGCGCTGTTCTCCCACACTGCCTAGTAAAGAAGTTTATGGGCTGAATGTGCTTAATCCGTGTCCATCCTTCTGGATCTGAGATAAAAAGGGATGGGTACAGGTAATAATGGCAAAACAGAGTGAAATATTGAGTTAGTAGCTTCTGTTTTAACCTGTTTCTCCTGACAGTCTGAACTCTGTCCGTGGCAGAATTATAACTGCAGGGCTGGAATTTTTTATATTTTTATATATATACACACACATATATAGTGGAGTTATATACGCGCACACAAACCCACACATATGTATATATATATAGACACACAGTCACACTCTGGCTTTTTTGAGACTGATGTTTAATCTAGAATGATTTTATTTTATCGAAGTTAACTGTAAGTGTTACCAAAATGTGTGACAGGGGCAACACTTAATTTCTCACATGCAATATTGATACCACAATTGCAGTAGGTTAAGATACTGCATTTATGTTGTTGATTGAAAGATTTTATGGAACAAGCTTTTTCAAGTCCATTATTTCTTTGCAAATCAACAAAAGCTGCATTCATTACACAGTATTTCTGTCACGATGTCCTGTGCCATGTCTTGATAAATGGATCCGTGTATGTTGCAACATCACCTAGTATAAAATAGAAGACCTAAAAGCCCCACTGAAAATTTTCAGAGCCTGACATAATACTCCACTGCCAAAGTCTTGTGTGATGTGGTTCTTTTTCCAGCAAGAGCTCTTGTATCGTAACAATTCTGTGCCATCTCAGCCTGACATAATTTCAAAATGGAGTCTGTGCTTCTCTGTTCACTTCCTCAGTGTTAGTTTACCATGAAAATCTTCCGTTCTGGTGACTGCCCATTCAGCTCTCCTCCTCTTAGGAGGAGGACTGAGACGAAAGTGTTTCTACAGAGCACTTTTTGAGAGATGGTTCTGACCTGTGCCTGCCTTTTTTTTGTTCTTTCATGCTACTCTGCTTTGAAGAAGAGATTAGTAGATTACAATTACTTCACTGTGCTGGTCCTCGTCTATGCTTTTCAAACAGGAGTTTTCTATAAAGGGTGCCCTTGTTACATATACCAAAATTATGTTTCATGACTACGTTTGAATCTGGTGTTTTTATTGCACACCCAAGCTCAAAAACTCTTTTTGTGAATGATTTGTAGAGAAGTACAAGGGGATGTTGGGCCTAATAGCATTTCAACTGTGAGCTGTGTGCAGGAACTTTAATGCTGTAAAAGACATGGATCAAAACTTGGCACTTTGGATTGATTTCTAAATAAACCCCCCAAAATAACAGGCCCAAAACTCTACATATGGAAAATGAGATTTCACATAACAGAATTGCTACCTTAGAGTTTTAAATGTGATACATCATTACAAAAGGAGCTGATTGTGTTCCTTGAGAATGTCCCAGATGGCAGCCACTTTGAAATTAGCTTAAAACCAGAGACACCTGAAATCTTAATTGGGGGTAAGTAAAGGCAAACTTAATGAGCCATCTAATGGCTTCATAATCTTTATCAATATAGATCAGATTGAGCATAAATGAAGCTGCTGCTTTAATAGATCTGCAAAAGACCTTTTATAAATATATAGGAGACAATGTGAGATGTTTTGACAAAGGTGATGAAACAGGAATTCCCAGAGAAGACAGCTGCTGCTTCTTCGTCATTGTCTTTTTTTTTTTTTTGTTTAAATAATTAAAATTTCCTTACCCAGGGGTATTCCCATTTTTTAGTGTCTGTTATTTTGGTTGACAGCCAATAGTATTTTTGTTTCCTGTGAATAAAGTAGGTTCTGGTTCATGTCTGTCTGTTTTAAATGAGACCACACACAAAGGCAGACCAGGGACGGGTGCAGCAAATGAACTTAATCTAGCGTGAGAGTCTACTTTTAATGAATTAAAGTCTTTTGTTTTTAATATACAATGTGTAGTCAAGCACTTTGGACCTGAAAATGCTAAGCATTTGCTATGACATACGACAACAAAGGTTCAGAGCTTGATTAATGTCATTAGACAGTGTCAAATGATTGCTTTCTGCTAAATGGGGGCCAGAATAACTTTCCTGGGCAAAGTAATTTGTCAATATCCTCTTCTGACTCCAATATGGGGCATTATTAGGGTTGCACACCAAACTATTTGTTATAATCTAGCCTGTTGAGCCACCTTTTGGACAGCTAACTCAATCGAAAATGCCTAAGTATGAATAAGCAGCACATATAACACGTGGCATAGCTTGCTGCATGAATTGAAGTAATTAGCTCAGCTGACTGGTCGCCTTCCAACCTTACTGCGTACATAGATATATTTAAAGCATCAGATTGTTACCTGTGCCTTTTCAGCCTCCTTTCTTAGTACTTCTGATGTGCTGCATGCACATCCAGCTGTTAAAGAGCAAAGTAAAATGTTTGGCAGGAGAAATGTTTATCCTTCACTTTCATGGGAGTGTGGAAAAGGGATATGTAGCAATGTCCAAGTCCTTCCTTCATGCAATAACTTAGTGCAGGCAGTGATAATCTCATGGTTAAACCGTTTTCTAAGATACTGCTGTGGTTGACACAAGGGAAAATGGTAGAGCCATGCTCTTAAAAATTGGTTGCATGTCATTGCCAAACTTCAGCTGTTTAGGCCAGGTCTGGCATATGTTAAGATAAGTTAGCAGCAGATAAAGGCTTGGATGTCTTTGGTGGTGCTTTGTGCCTTGGTTAGAAATTTTTATTAGTTCTGGATAGGTATCTCTCATGTTGTGTGGGATGTTCTGCATGTAACTCTTCCTGTTACTGTCTTTTTCAGCGTGCTTAAACTTACAATGAACAATTCTCACTAAGAGAGGATACTGTCTAAAGACTTTCAGTTTTTGTTTGTAAGAGAACTGTTTTCTTTTAACATAGAGTAAAATATGTGAGTAGTTCTTACTTGCTTATGGATTAAGGTATGATCTCACAGTACATGCCATAGATTAATTCAGGTCAGAGAAGACCCCAGGAGGTCATCTAGTCTTACCTCTTCCGCAAAATAACATTGATAACTTTTCTGACAAATTCAGCAATAAAATTGGCAGAGGTTTGTGCTTTTAATTATATAAGTCTTTTGAGGAGGGGGACATTTCAGAAGCTTTCTAAAACTTGATGTGGAATTTTGGTCCTAATCAGAATGATTTTAATTGAGTTAGGATTTATAGGGATGTTAAAAAGGTGAAAGGCCAGAAACTAATCAACTGAATCACTTGGTCTTCATATAGCTATTGACGTCAAAAGGATGTTTTTCCCAGCTACAAAACCATATGAACATTTAATTGGAATAGAGAAATCCCTTGTGCTGTTTCAGTCAAGGATTTCATCTTTTTAAAGCACATGGTTCCCTTTTATCTTCAGACCTTCTAAGTAAGTTTGTGGTGAATTTCAAAATTAACATATGGAAAATTAGGCATGATGTGGTGCTGCATATTGCAGCAGAGACAGAGCAGAGGTTTGGATGACTGTCTTGTCATTGCAGCCCTGTTACTGACCCTTTTGAGTGTGGATGTAGGAACCCCATAATTCTTGGTGTTTAGATCCAGAACACCCAGCCACGGGATGCCTGCGTGTTGCTCAGATGGATATGCTTATTTTCCAGCTTGCATTTTGCATGCATCTCAAATGACTATCAGTCTATCTGAGACTTATTACACGGCTTTGAACACAAGGAATTCGGTGGAAGAAGCCAGGCAGGAGCATTGGCTTAATCAATGTGTTTTTTCTTCAGTGTAGTTGCCAGGTGTGGGGAGAAACTTCTCAACCACAGCCTGGATGACAGGGCGTCTTGCCAACACAGGGGAGGAGATGGAGAGACATTGATCTATTAGAAAATTGACCTTACGCAAAGGGAGGAGGGTGTCAGTCATCAGCTGCTGTGGGCTGACGTGCAGGGAAAGCAGGTTCTCTGCAAGCAAGCTGTACTCTGCTTCCCTGCGGGACAGGGAGGTACCGAGTCTAAATTACATCTCCCCGCTGCTTGGAGGAAATTCCAAGTTGTAGGTAAGAGGGTAGGCTTAGGTCTCTGTTTCTTTAAAACTAATTCTTTGAATTCCTCATGACTAAATAAATCCTATTTTCGTTTCATTCTGTGGCACAATGGAAGGTTTTCTCTGTAGGATCCTGAAGGAAAATGTTTGCAGGTGCCAAGTGTTTTGTTAGGCAGGCTGGGATAGGGAGCGGGAAGATGCAATTAGGGAGTTGTTGGGTTATCGGTCCCATCACAAGAGCAAAAGGGGATAGGCGTTACTCTACTTGAAAGGGCTTGTGGACTGGAAAAGGGCCTCAGGAGGAGCAGTGTACACAGATACAGTTGCGTAGAAAGCATGCAGCAGGCTACAGTTCCTCTAAGAATGGTTGGCTAATTTCCTCACGAAGGATGGTTGCAGAATTAGGCGTTTCTCACACCAGCACAGCACTTCAAAGGTGGAGAGAAGTGCACATCTGGACCAGCATACCTGGGAATGTTGTGTTTGTCTTTGGATGCCTCAGATGGACAATTAAGTTCTAATTTACATCTAGGAAAACGGAGTTAGCCGTCATTATTTGTAACCAGACTTCTTAATGAAGGGGAGTCTTGTTTCCTTAGCTGGAGCAAACCAACTCCAGTGTGATAGAAAACCTGCTGGATCAGAAACAGTTACTGGTCTGTGCTGTGTTTTGTTTACATGGTCAGATAAAAACTGCTCTGCATGCCTTTTGCCTGAAATGAGCAGGGGAGAAAATTGTACAGGCTGCCTTTTTTCTTGGGGCTCAAATTTCAAAACAGACCTGGCAGTAGTGCATAGTAAGCAGGCATCACTAGAAATACTATACTCTGCTTTAGTGCTGTCTTCCTCGCTTACCAGAAATACACAGGAATGTTTCGCCTCTCAGTTTGCAATGGATAATTTAGCAGAGTCATTTCCTTACATGTGTAGTAACAAAGATGATGCAGGAAAAGATTGTTGATAGTTTGGGTTTTTTTTCTTATTTCAGGATAT